CAATGGTACCAAACTAGTGTGTGGAGAACCTTTTGAAGTTTCGATTTCCGTACAATGAGTATCTTGGTGTTCAAAGTACAGTTGACAATTCAAAGATTCGCCAGATACATCTTGAACATCCCATAAATTATGACAGATTTATGTGTAGAATAATACTTTATACGATAAGTGACCAAAGATCATCGCCAAGTGGTTGTCCACATTGGTATTCACCTCCGGTCTTGTTAGTACATGTATGCATATTTGTAATTGATTGAAGATGATTTTCCAGTGGTGAAAATATACTGTAATGTGTCATCCAATCATACAACACCTTTTTCAACATATCATAGCTTCCATTCATACTCAAATTGAAATCAAATACTTGTTATGTATCACGTTTTTATCAGAGATGCTGAATTGACACTTGAACAAGTTTGTACAAACAAAGGCACAACCTAATGTTTATGTGTTTTTGTGTGTATTTTTTGGTTGGCACTGCTAAAGAAAGTGAACGGCTGGCTTGCACTGGTAGTACCATATTTGGCATACTATGCCTGTGCTTTGTAGGGTCTATGATATATGTCTCTATTTTTCTCTTCAGAAGATTGAATTCTCGGGATGAGGTAATAGAAGAAAATAGCAAACAGGTATGCTTGAAGCACTAAGTTTTTAAATAATAGGAAAAAACTTTGAGTAGAAGCTAGATTTAAAAACTTTGAAAAAAAATTAATTTGAAAAATTACTGGAAAATGTTATATTTAAAAAACAAAACCCCAAAAATATACACACCGATTGCAAACATACATAGGTGTGTGTATATATATATATATATATATATATATATATATATATATATGCACACACACATACGGCACTGAGCACAGTTTGTGTACCTGCATGCTACCGCAGGTCATAATTTGAAGACAGGTTTTTTTAATAGTCGTAATCTCTTAAACAACTGACATGATAATTAACACACTAGGACTTGTGTCATTTTATTGTTTAAAGCAAAGTGGACCACTACATGGAAATAGAGGATCACAAGTGGAATACAATCACCAGAATGAAATGAGCAACTTGGATAGCCTCCAAAAACAGCTGATTAGTATGAAAGAACAACTGACCAAAGCCAGTGGTAAGTTACCTAAACATCCAAGAAATTTATGCTTATCAATATTATCTGATGGTATTTCACTGTATGCATAACATATATACATATAGTAAAGAAACATATAAATTAAGAAATAAAACTGCCAAATGTGATCATGCACGATATGCTACTTGTGCATCGCTGATTGTCAAATTCATTGTTTTATATAGAAAATGTGAACACATCCTGCACGACACACACACACACACACATGCTCTATGAAACAATGAATATCAAATATTGTCTACTATGTAGACATACTATTATTACAGTTTCATTAGAAGCATATATAAACAAATGCATTGTTGTATACTGATACTGAGTAATTTGAATGTTCGACCATACAAACAGCTCTACAAGATACTAATAGAGCAGATCTGGTACACAAATGGGAGAATATACCAGTCTTGTACAAATTCCAAAATTAGTCCCCAGGTAGTTGTCATCAATAAGGCAATTTGTCAGTCACCTGCGCATGTGGTAGATGACCATAGTGCATCTTTGTTTACAAACAAGCATCTACCCATGAGCCTTTGCATTTTTAGCTTGCCTTATTGTCACTTAGAACTCTATTCTTGTGCTTGCATAGCTTTAAATGACAAGTTATTTTCGCTTTATTTGCAGTTCAATGTCACATTCTTCAAGTAGATCTTGTAACACAGTATAGCCCATTCATTCAAGAAACTCTCGATTCAACTACAGAAGACTGTCAGAAGTGTTTGAGTGCTATAGCACAGATTGATGGGAAACAATAACTTCACTGCAACTGTGTTGCTAGCTTATGAATGTATCATGTCATATTTAGTATTTTTTTTTACCTGTAAAGATGTATTGAGATATAACCATCTAAACATCGCCTCCAAGAACTTTTGCTGCTGTTTGTGTCTGATGGTAAAAGTCCCACGAATAGTGGAGGAAAATTCTCATTTTGGTATATTTTGTGCATTTGGAAGTGTATTACTACAGTCGTTCATTTTAAATTTCATTCATTCCATACAGTTTTGTTAATTTAAGTAGAACTTTATTTACACATAGTTGCAAGTAAAACAAAATTGTTGACAATAGCAATTACTTTTGCTTTTTTCAAAAAAAGATGAAATTCTCTATTTATCCATGATTGTAAATAACCTTTTAGTAACATGAGCATGCAATTGCCCAGGTCTATAGCACCGTAAGAAAAAACTTTAGGAAAATTAATAATTTAATTCAATCTATACATGTTAGAATGTCTCGTTTCTGTTCTAATAATAAATTATTCAAAATATACAGGTAGTTATCTTCTTTTTATTTTATATACAGGTAGAGATAAAGAAAAGTTCATAAATCTGAGAAAAAAAGTGATATTTGGAATATGTCAATATTTCATTATTTGGTATCTATAAATGTTCGCCCAAACAAGGTTTAAAGTGTCGGTCGTTGATCTAATGTGACGAGTACAGGAAAATTTCTGAAATTTGAATATGGGCTGTGTGTATGACATTGTAAGGATGATTATATCATCATTGAACAGTCTATGACATGGTTTATAATTGTGTAAACAATTGCAGTAGGGTATATACAGCAAAAAAAACCCATTTAGGAAACAACTGATTTGGCTGGTGTTGTGACATGGTTTTTGCCATGACACTTCAATACTTTTAGAAACTGCATTTATTGTTTCTATGGAAAAGCCTGACCACATTATTATTATTATAACTACACAGTAGTAGGTGAAAACAAAACAATACTTTTAAACCATTGGCAAAAAAAGTCAATGCCACTATTTTGTGTACCGGGGGTAATTTGCAAATGGGCATGTTTGCCATAATGTGTGTATGCAAGTAAAATTTTAAGTATTTCAGTTGAGATCCAAAAATAATTTCAGGGATTTTGCACACACAATACTGCAGGCTAATTGGGGTGGAGGGTCTGGAAAATATTTAGTTTTCAACAAAGGAATATAAAATCCTTCCAAACGAGATAATATTTACAACAAGACTGAAAGTATGATAAGTATATAATTTGGCAGTAAAAAAGCTCTGTGGGTTGATAATAGAGGAATACATGGATATCAGAATCTACAAATGACCACTATCCAATGCATTCATGTGTCATTTTCACACTGATTTTACATTTGTCGCCATCTGTTCAATGTTAGCAAAACATTTTGTTCAAATAACCATATTCTTTATACTTAACTCTTGAACTTATCCAATGGCAATTAATGTCAGTACCTCGTTAGGTCAGAATTGTAAAATGACACTTCATCAGGAAAGCCACACATGTTCTATTGTGCATATCAATATGCATACAAATCAGAATCAAGTATTGTTCAATCAATCGCTACAACTTGACGTATTCCTTTTTCTTGGAGTTTTAGGTGCTATATAGTCTCTGTATACATTTCTGTATAATTCACTTTCAACTATCTCATCAGCACTGGGTCTCTTGTCAGCCTCTGCTGACAATAGCCACTCTGCAAACTGTGCCTGAAAACATTGACAAATAGGTGAATTGGCTTAAAATTAAATTTAAATCATGACTTTTTCAATACAGACATTTCATTCATTCATTCCAAATTGCATGGTTTTGCAAACTTGACCATGTGCGATTGTACTGAAAGCGCAATGTATTTGACCTTGGTAATATACCTGTAAAACAATGATTATGAAAATGCTGAGGATTATACACAATGATAACACTCTTTCAGAAATTTTGAAAACTAAAATTTAAATTTACCTCTTCTGATGATTGGCGTCGGAAATCCTCTGGGAAAATCTGCCGTTTAGCACTCATCATAACCTACAAAAAAATCATTGATTTTTAATTTCTCTCTACATTCGAATTTGTCTACTGTCAAAGTATCACCTTCATCCCTATTATCATTCTAAGTTCAAAGGTTACTCAGATGTATCAAAAGTACTAAATTCTTGAGTATACTGATAAAAATGTTAGCATTAGCAAATCGTAGTAAAAGTGTCACCAAACATTTTTTAGCCTCTATCTGTTCCTGTTAGAGAATTGCTACTTATAAAGCAGATGCCGCACTCAAAATTTAATCAGTCAAACAATGATATCCCACAATGCCAGGACAGTTTTTTCTTCAAAGGGAATCATTTTAATAAGGTCAGTCTCAGACAGAACATACAGGTATATAAATTACAATTTTACGGATAACAAATCTGACTGACTGATTTCCCACAATGGTACAAACGCAGGCAATCAATAGCTT